CCAGATCAAATGCCCAAATTCATATGCATGGAAATACCAGTGGTCCTCTATAGATGTTACATTTGATTAAATTACATTTCGAATTGCGTATTATATTAATTAATTCATTTCCATTATTTCACGGTGCAATTGCTTTTTCAAACTCAGCATTATAAAAGTAATTTAGCAAAACATGAATTATATCAAATACCTTTCTACGGTTATTATACAGTACTACATGACTAATTTATTACTTGTGAAATGATACATAAATCCGACAAGCTATTGGCATATTTAAAATCGAAATAAATAGCAATTTGAGGTAAAACATTAATTTAATTTTATAACATAATTTCAATTAAAATGTAAATGACTAGTCAGGAATTCAATTGATTTTACTATAAATTAATTCTTAGTATAGGGTGGAGCGGGGCTTAAAGGACCACGGTTAACAAGATCCACCTACCAATATCTTAAAAACAAGTTAGGATTTTTTTTTACATTTTTTGAAATTGTAAATCTATAACAAAAGTATTTTCTTTCATTGTTAGTGTTTTTGGTTGTGGGTTTTTTGGTTTACGAGACCTTAGTATGATTTTTAAGTATACGTTATTTAATTGTTTTATAACATGTATAAATTTTAAATTAGATTCGATAGATATTTTTATGTAACCTCTACAAAAGCCTACATGTAAGTGGGGTAAGAAGACCAACTGTACCTTCACCTTGGCAAAGGTGTAATTAATAAAAATTAGTAAGTAAAAAGGGGAATTCAGTTGCAAAAGGGAATTTCACAAGAAATAAATTCAATTAATAGTTATTCCAACTGTGTTGAGGAATATTTTTAACGAAATACCAGATTAGAGTCATATACAACGTTGTCTTTATAAAAATGCGCACATACAATTTATATTTTGCATCAGTTGAATATTGTTGCTATTGTTTCGTAAAATCTGTCAAAAAAAATGAAAATATTATTTGGGATCTGTTTGCCTTATGACTGTCTTATTTAACCTCGTCAATGGGATAAGAAGAAGCAAATGACAAATTTTAGAAAAATAGTAAAAAACACACTTCAATAATTAGGACTTAACAGGGTATTTTACTAAACGTTTTTTTCATTAGATATGTGATAAGTGCAGTGTACTTCATTTGGTTTAGATAGTATAATTATTTAAAGTTGAATTGGACCTTTGTACCCCTATTTCGTCTAAAGAATAAATTACAATTTACACTTCAATTTATATAATAATTAATCATTTCAATACATCAACATTTAATACTAGAACTCTTTGCTATTGCAAAAATATATTTGTATTGCAATAAATATATTTTTGTATATAATTTTTTTAAATATCTGACAAACACTTGTGGGGTGCTTGGCATCGTGCCTTAAGGCAAATTGTTGGAACTTCCCGTACCGTAATTAAAAATTTTGGTACGGAACCCAAAAAGAATTACACAAAATGGGTACACATTTTTAAAATCTATATAAAATATCTGATAATTTGATGTACATATGTCCAATAAACATTTTTGACCGCCAAATAACATTTTACTAATTGATTTTCATTGAGAGTCCACAACCGCTAGACCTGCCTTCCCAAAAATTTAATCAGTTTTTCATCTTGTCAATACAAGTAAAATGTTTATTGAATTATGAAAATCGGACGCTCCGTTCTCTTAAAAACAGAGTTATCGTTATTGGCACTTTTTGCCCCGCATCTTCAGAACGGCTAGACCTGCCTTCGCCAAAAACTAATCGGCACGTCTTCTTATCAATACGAATCGAATGTTGCTTGAATTATTCAAATCGGTTGATCGGTAATATCGAAATCGTCGACGAAAATTTGTATCCGAACACACACATACACACATACACACACAGACAAATACATCCATTTTTTCTAAGGTATGCTTACAAATTTTAGTGAGTCTGTGATATTTTAGATTGCTTATGTAGACAATGCATTTTATTATCGTGTAAAATTTCATTAAAATCAGCAATTTTTTCGATAATAACTAATTACAGCCCAGCAAAGCACAGAAAATACATAGCATTTCGTAATTTTTCAGTAACATCGTATATGAAAAACGCTAAATAACATAGCCTTTCCGTAACATTGGCCTATTTTACTGATGGAAGACATCACTGCAGCTTGATATAAGGCTAATCGAAGCGGGACAACTCCTCTGGTCTAAACGTCATCTTTATATCAGTTTATGATACAATACAATATAATTGACAAAAAAACTGATGAGCCTTTATATTTGGATATTTCTTATATTGTTAAAAAATTTGTTTCATAAATAATATTTATCATTTTACGTACAAGTTTGACTCGGACAAGCGCCTAGTAAAGTGGGAACATTTTCCGCCAGATGTGTGGAGCCTGGAAACGCGATATTCTTTTAATGCGATCCGTTAACATAGTCGAATGGAATTCAAATAAGGTTTAGCGTGCTTTTAAAAGAGAGAGTATTTTCTTGTAATCGTATTTACATCGAAATGTGAATACGAGATCACAGAAATAAAACCAGAAGATCTCAAATTCAGCTTCATGGATTTTAGTTCTACCAAGGAAATAGAAGTTCACTGGAGTACGTATGAATTTTCAGAAAACAAATTCGAATTAATCATTCTTATAATAAACCAAAAGTAATATTGATAAAGATGTATGATTTAAAATCATATAGTAGTGTTGAATTCTATTTAATAAATTTGTTTCTCAGTGCAATTAATAAATTTAACAATATTCGGCTTAGAAATTTATTTACCTAGCAATATAACTCTTTGTTTTGGCTAATGACTTTTAAAATCTATATAAATACAGGAAAATTACACTAATAAAGTGATCTTTAAAATAATTTCGAATTCAAATTTTTATGAAATGTTCTTCTGAATTGACTAATTCTATAAACCCTTAAGCTTTGTCTTTTAACTTCAGAAGATTTATGTGTTCTTTTGAAGTATTTTTACAGTTAAAACAAATTGTTAGGCTTTATTCTATGTTAAGGAGTATTTCTCATATGAATACAATTCTAAATTTGTGCAAGGAATAATATAATATACTAGAATTTTGCTATATACAAAAACCCAATGTAACTCCTACTTATTTTTTTGTTATTAAAGTATTATAAGTAATTGAATAAAGTATAAGAAAGTTGACAACTTCATTGTCATAATTGTTTCATTATACTTATTAAATGTTCACTAGAGTCTATTGCAAATTACAGGAGGAAAAAAATATTTTTAATTGAAAATGGTTGAAATACAAAATGTCCTCATGATCAATTTTTCAAACTATATAAATAGACCAAAATATAAAAATTGAATCAAGCTTTTTCATAAGCAATGTCAGGCTTGCTAACTAAGTAGTTAGTGGTGATCTAAGTTATTGCATATTTTAATTTAAAATATACCGTTTTGTTTAAAAATATAACATGTGCAATAATATAAGTTATAGATAAATTTGAAGAAAAACTCAAATCCATGTTTGTCGTCGATCTCATTAAGAAAAATTGTTGCAAGGTGGGAAATACACCTTGCAAAAATTTTGTTTGATGAGACTACGATATAAAAAAAATTTCAAATTTCAAAATAAAATACGACTGATGTTATTTTTAACTCATTGGGGACGGCTGTCCACCTGAGTGGACAAACATACACTATCAGACACAGGCTATTTTATAAACAATGACTCAGTTTGCATCGAAACGTTGAATAAATTACATATAGCAGTGATAAACAGTGTTGTATTTTGAAAATAATTTTGAGTTATTTTAGTAGAATTTTTAGCAATTTTCTGTGCTGTATAGTCTTTTTTTAAATATTAAAAATGACCGAGCGTTTTTAAATATGGCAGAACGACTTGTGCATTTTGTGAATTAAGTGCTAGTGAAAATGAGTTACAAATAGACAATCATACAGACAAATTTTACGAAATTACTATTCGCACCGGAGATAGTGATGAATGTGATGATGATATTATCCAAATAACAAAAAGAAGAAGAAGTTTGACAAATTAAATGAAGAGTGAAAGACATTAGCGAATGTGCCGATTCTACTTCAATAATCGAGTTTGACATACATCAACAAACACCCCGAATACAAATATCAAGCAATATAAGACATCTAATAGATTATTTTACTTTATATTTTACAAATAAATTATTAGACAATATAATAGAAAAAACAAACCATTAAGGCAACAAAAAATGAACAAATATACTGGCTAATCAGTGGCATATTCTAAATGCGAGAGAAAGAAAAAGGGATTGTATTGTCTGTTCTGACACAAAAGCACCAGGATGAAGACGGCGAACAAAATTTTATTATAAAACATGTCAAAATCAACCAGCAATGCATTTTGGAAATTGTTTTAAACGTCGCCATTCTTTATAAAATGATCAAAAATAAATATTATAAATGTATGTCCTTCAATGACCACAAATTTTTATCAAACAAATTGCATAACATACACAATGAAATCAAGTTTACAGTCGGTATAGTAGATTGTTTTGAAATCGGTGCCGTCCCGTAAGTGTTAATATACTACACCGTTATATATGTTTAAATGATAGTCATTTTTATTAATCTAATAATAATAATAATATTAGATCCCAAATACGTAGTTCAACCAGGGGACAAAATTTCGTTAAAGTTTTTTTTTCGTAGGTATATATCAAATATACAGGATATAAAAATAAAGATATATTGCTTGAAGGCAGTATGAGGAAATAGATATAAACAATTCACCAGCCAAAAATTTTCGAAACCTGAACTATTCCTCATTGGATGTAGGTATATAATTTTAAAACCTAAACTTAACATTTTTTCTAAATTATGTTTTATTATATTTAGTCCATATCCATAAATTTAAATAAGATTTCTACATTTAACGAGCGTTCTTTTTACAAACCACGCATTATCTATTTTCATTGTATAAATTGCAATGAAATGTGAATGTAAAATCTACATTTATATTTCAATTCAAATTATTTTTATACTACCCACTTACCTTGCAAAGGAGCGTATATGTTCAAGTACAAACAATCCTCACTCTGGTTCCTCAGATAAGGAAGTAGCCTTTTTAATTGGGCATACCTTCCGGGGGATACTCCGGAGCCTCCGGATGATGAAGGATTTCGGCCCATTGACGACGCCGTTAGCGGCGGTGGCGTCTGCGGGCAAACGGGAGGCAAATGATTGGCTGACCGCAAACCTGTCCATGGAGGAGCTGTTCCTGAAAATCACGAAATACATCCTTAATCATCATTGTTAGCATTCATTACTAGAGATACTGTGCTGAATAATTGTAGAGTTACAAATTTGAAACACACTGTTCATAAAGATAAAGTTATTCAGAAGAATTGAAAAATTAACGATGATAAGAAGTTGAGTTAAATGAGTTTATTAATAGAGTGCATACTAATTAAAATTACTTTAAGAAATGTATGTACCTAAGTATGTTTCCAGAATGCAATATTATTATGCAATTTAATGATGTGACTAAAATTATGAATGTTTTGAAGTAAAATGATTTTTTTTCAAGTTTAACACTTTCCACTCGCAAATTGCAAAACAAATACATTACATAATATGTACTTTGCCACCGGAGCGAGTGGAGAGGGTTGATACTATTATTAATATACGAGTCTAATAATAAGAAAAGATGTGATTGACCAATTCTTATAATATAGTTTGTGATAGTATATAGAAGGTTGGTGAATATCTTATGTATTTTTACAACATATTCTAACTAATATTTCAGTTACTGATATATTATCCGTTTATAGTGATTTCATACATTTATAGCATCAAAAACTATGCGAAAAAATGGATTTCTTGGGAATATAGATCTAAATATATTTCCACGAACAAGCCCTTCCTCGTAATGTCTGTATCAACTCCTAAAATACATCTTTAGTACTAATTATAAAGAAATTCTGACAATATAAATATATCAAATATGATTGATATAATATTCGCTTATGACAAATCCGTTTAAATATATATTGTATCGCCTCATAATCAATGGAAAAATTGCTATCACTTAGATCAAAATATTTTCCACGTGAAAATAGCCCTTTCCTGTCGGGTCTGTATCAAACCAAAAATACATCTTTAGTATTTAAGGAATTCTGGTAATCAAAATATATAGAAGCAAACTTAAGGATGAGTGGATTTGACTTTTGAAAAGCTTCTCAAATGACAATATATATTTATATATATTTTATCACACCAATTTATCAAACTTAAATAATGCAAAAAAAACTTATAGGACTATTAAGTCCTTATTTTTTTCCCAAAAAAAAAGAAAAAAATGTATGAATGTTAATGGATTTCTATAGTATAATAATAATTGTAAATGTGAATGTGTAATATAACAATAGCCTGAATAGGTATTAGTTATTTGTTCATTACCAAATAAAAAATAAATATTTAGAAATAAGATCATGATAATTTCGTATATATATATATATATATATATAAGAATATATATATATATATAAGAATATATATATATATATATATATATATATATATAAGAATATATATATATATATATATATATATATATATATATATAAGAATATATATATATATAAGAATATATATATATATATAAGAATATATATATATATATATATATATATATATATATATATATATATAACTGACTCCTTTATTTTAGCTCTGATTACCCAAATTATATTAAAAATTATTAGAACGTATTATACAAGTCATAAGTCACAATATATAGAACATATCAATATAATAATAAATCAAAATTTTAACCTTGAAATGTTTGATATATTTTGCTTCATACTGAGATTAATGTGTGCATATAGATTATCATTTTATTAAATTACATATTTGCAAACAATCATCTTTGATTGCAAAATATTGTTTATAACATATTTTGTATAATATATTATTTTAATGCAATTATTTATTTGTTTCGATATATATAAACAAAACATTTTGTAAATTGTGGAACAAGGTTTGTGTCTTGTTACATTTATTACATTAGAATAAACAGGCTAAATTGATTTTGTTACTTCGTATTATTATAATTTTTATTTTGTACATCTAGAATAAACTCAGAAACAAAATATCTGTTCTAATTGTTTTAGAGTACAAAATAAAATACACGTTTCAATGATACACGACACGTTTTCGTTTTTTTAAAAAGTGTACGGCTAAATTAAAGGAAATGAACTTATTTTAAAATTTAGTAGGCAAAGTCTCAGATTATTGCATTTATGTGTTTATAAATATGAGCATGCCCTAGTTTCCAGAAGTAACAAAAGAAACTATTAACTATTATAAAATTTATAAAACTTTTAGTATTATGTGAATTAGGTAGAACAAATTAAAACATTTTACATCTATATAGAACAGCCTTAGTATAAAAGTTTTTCCTCACTTTTATCTATAACTAGAAATAAAAAAATAAAATGCAATAGGAGATGAAAATAATTCAGAGTTCGAAACACTTAACAGTGCAATTAATTACCCAACGCAAATAGAACACTGTATTACATTTCAGTTCGCGGTGTTAAAATGAAATAAAATCTTTTTTTCTCTATAAGAATTTTTATTATACGTAAACAAACGCACGCAAACAGAGCAGCGGCTTATTTCGGTATAAATCTAATTCAAATATTTATTTTTTCTTATTAATCGCTGTTCTTTTCTGAAGAGCACTGCGATGTTATTTCTGTACTGTTTACTTACATCAAGGAAAAGTGTGCTAAATACGAGAATCTTACAGGAATAAACGTTACAGAAAAAATAACATTCAGAGAAATTAGAGAAATGAATACTTGCAACTTGTATATAGGTCATTTGAAGATTATAGTTATTTAATTAAAATATATTTTAAAATATGGTAAGAAATCTGTGATCTCATTATAAACAAGTCACTATAAATAGTGAAGTGCTCTAAGAAATGTATGAGCACAATTTTATAAAATGCATCATTTTCATGAATTTATAATATATTTATATATATATATATATATATATATATATATCATAATAGTAATAATTAACCAAAAAAAAAACATTTTTTAAATTGTGATCACATACATATTTTTTTACAGGGTAATATGGAAACCATGCTATAAAAAAAACTCAGAATTAGTAAAAATGCTGGAACTTGTAACGCCAATAATTTAAAAAAAATGAATTGTTCAAAGATATGAAACATTATAAATAATTGAATTTATATAAAAATATGATGAAAAAGATGAAACTAAAATTATACTACTGTTTTGCAACAAAAAAACATCATTTTTTAACTTGCCAAAGAAAAGTTTGTTTTCGCAGAAAATGCGGATTGTTAATTTTATGTTTTCTTGACTTTGCAGGTCATTCCAAATCAAATGAGCTCAAGTTTCAAAAATAGTATGTGTGTGTGTATGTGATCTGATTTTTTACCTTTCATCGACGTTTTCAAAAACGGTTTAACAAAATTTATCAACAATCCTAAATCGATTCTAAAAATTAAAAAAACTGTTCTAAAAATATTGGTTGGAATTTACAGTTTTTAAAATTATAAAATTCATTTGATGAAACTTAACTTGCACTTAGCATCGGCTTCAGAATTAGCAAAAAAAAAATACAAAATTTCATCCACGATTTAGCCAAAAATCCTGAATCGATTTTGAAAGTTCAAAGTCTAATCGAAAGATATTATTCGGTAATTTCACGGATAAATTTTTACAAAGATCGGTCAGGGAGTTTCTTCATAATTGATTGGTACAAATTTTTTTCTTAAAGTTTCAATCTTAAAATTTTGTAAGACGAAAGAACTCTTGGTCCCAATAAAAATACTAAAAACTATAGTCCTACAATTAAAATTTAAAAAAAATAAATAAAATTATGAATTAATCGGAAAATATTTAGGATATGTATTAGGCATGTGTTCCTTGTTCAATGTGTAATAAAAAATTTTTTAAAATTGTATAATCTGCAATAGTTACAAACCAATATAAAGCTGTACTGCAACTAAGCATATTTATAAATCACTCAAAAATCAATATATTGCTTTCTTATTGATTGCGTCGATTATTTAAACATATTAGAAAATTCATGCAACTTGCCAAATGGCAAAAGAATCACTTACAAATACTTTATTACTAAGTTTAAAGTGTTATATAAGAGCCTTGGCACAACTAAAACTAACACAATTTAAAAAACATAGGGTAGTCGATAATAAAGCGATATAACCTTCCAATTTATCAAGCTGCTAGATAAGTTCCCGCGCAATTCATAAAATGCGCGGGAACTTGTGCGCTGTTAAGCGAAAACCGCGTTGTAAGTTAGCCTAAACCGCGTCGTTATAAAATGGTCCACTGATGTAAAACTAACCAAAACAATATTAATTATTCATTCATAAATATTCTTACGATTATTTAATCATATCGAAAAATTCATGCAACTTGCCCAAATGGCAAAAGAATCATTTACAAATAGTTTATTCTTAAGTTTAAAGTGGTATATAAGAGCCTTGGCACTACTAAAATTAATAAAACTTGGCATGTTAGAATACACACAATATAAAATCAAGAAGAGTCAATAATAAAACAATAAAACCTTTTACGTTATCAATCTAGATAAGTTCCCGCGCAATTTATGAAAAGCGCGGAAACTTGTGGCCTGTTGAATGAAAACCGCGTTGTTATAAAAAGGTCAATAATGTAAAACTAACCGAAATATTAGATTTTCATTCATGTATATTATTAATTATGGTTCGATTTACACGAAGTTCCTTTTTTCAAGAACTTTTAAACACAAACCGAATTCGGTTCTACATTTGCAATAATTAAATTATATTTTGAATATTGAATGACATCACTATTTACCCTTGACACATAAACATTAAATAAAAAAATATTTTCTCTAGCGTGACCTTGATTAGAAAGAATCAGGCCCTTAAAATCACTGCTTGATCTTTGCAATGGGCTGCACAATTATTAAAAAATAGCCGCCCTTAGTCTTTAAATTAAATAAATTAAGAACAAAAATAATATTACTACATACGAAAGAGGAACAATTCGCTAAATGTATAACCAACAAAGCTAAAGAAAAGAAAGTACACTGAACTAAACTAAAACACTAAAATGGTCACTAAACAATAAACACTGATCATCGAATATAATAGGTTGTGAGCCGAAGGTAGACCAAACAGAACTGACGCTCTGACCTCAAATAAAAGCAGAGGTCAAAAATTTT